CATTGGTTGCGTACAATCCATTGATTTCTTCAGCTCATCACGAGATTTTATCCGTTGATGAGATAACTAAAAGCTGTTTCGAAACCGACAATCAAATGGTCAAATGTGATCCGAAGAACGGGAAGTACATGGCTGTTTGTCTTTTATACCGTGGAGACGTTGTTCCGAAAGATGTGTCCGCTGCGATTAAGTCAATCAAAACTCAGCGATCCGTTCAGTTTGTTGATTGGTGTCCTACTGGATTCAAAGTTGGATTAAACTATCAACCACCTACAGTAATCCCGGGTGGTGATATGGCTAAAGTGCCACGTGCCGTTTGTATGCTTTCGAATACAACTGCAATTGCGGATGCATGGCAAAGACTGGATTATAAGTTTGACTTGATGTATGCAAAACGAGCATTCGACGACAGAAAAGTTCTGAAACGTCGGATTCTGAAACGTCGGGTTCTGAACTGTCGGGTTCTGAAACGTCGTGGTTCCGAAACGTCGGGTTCTGAAACGTCCAGGAGCCGAGACCTTCTATTAGAGGACATACGGTATTTTGTTTTCAGGCTTCTCCTTTTGAATACCAGTATTAGTGAAACTTTTCTCATCATCTTCTCCTTCTTACTGCAGATGAGGTTCTATTATTTTTCCTCTCTTCGAATTCATCCAAATTCATGATTCAGAATAATAAGCGCTGGTGAATCAGTGGCTCTCCTACCATACGGACCGCTTCGTAGTGCTTCTCTAGAAGTTTCTTTCATATCCTATAACATTTACAACCTATTTCTTTGCACTACAAACTTATCAATTCTACTGGCAATGTACTTTAGATACTCTTTGATTTGTCATGGAAAAGCTGAAGGCATGCCAGTGATGAGGAACTTTGGATTGACCTGGATTTTATCTGTTGGGATGTTGGTAAGGAAATCGATTACCCCAAAAATTGCATGTCATGAATATTTTAAGGTTGTTATTATAATACCACCTTACGATTTTTCTACCGTAGTCCTTAACACGGAAAAATCATATCCTGAATACAAGCTTCTTGAAACATATGGAGAATTCGGTGGATTCAAATCGACAACTAGACTCGTTTATGTTGTAAATACTACAATTCTAATGGGAATCCCATATCTAATTCCTGTATTTATTCTAGTATTTAGGCATAAAATATTCAAACAGATCAATGAAGTTCAGACTCATTTAAGTGATCGGACCAAGAAGGCTTCTTTGGATTTGGTTAGGGTGAGTGAGTTTGGAATTTTTAAAATGTTTTTTTTGTATTTGTTCCAGGCTCTCACAATGCAAGCAATGTTTCCAATGATTTGCTTGATTCCCAATGTTGCATATTTTGTTTTATCACAGGTAAATCAAGGATGTCCGGGATGGCCTCTTCTGAATTTTTTGGAATGTCGAAAAAATTTAAACATTTCGGATTTCGGAATCCCTCTTGCGGTTGGAAATTCGGTGGGCGAAGCGACAACAGCTACGGTTTTCAAAATTAGTGCATGCGCCTTTAAACCGTACTTCGCAATTAATTTATTTTTGGTTCATTTTTAGTTGTTTTTTAAAGGTGGGGGGGACATGAAAAAATAATGTTCTCGAAATTCCGTTCAAAGATGCTCCTCGAGGAGTTGAACTTGTGAGGGCGAAGAAGAGGGTGCGGCGCCGCTACCGACTGAGCCACGCGGGTAAAGAGAAAGCGCATGCCCGATTGCATACATAAAGGCGAGGACGACACCTGTACACAGAGTGACATTAAGCGTTGTACACCGTGACGGTAGAATGCATACTCTAGCTACAAAAAAACTACGAAAAATCTCCTGTCCCCCCACCTTTAAAAAATTTTTTAAGGGAAATAAACTCAGGATCGATTAAAATTAGACAAGAACTGTCAAAAAAGGGCGAAACATTGGGAAAAAAAGGGCAACGGCATGAATTAAATTAATTGCGAGGTACGGATCAAAAGCTCACGCATAAATTTGGAAGGCCGTAGCTGTTGTCGCTGCTGGAGTGATGCTCCGCGCACCCTCGAATTTTCAGCAGCAAAGTTTCGTTGAAAATGCAAAAAATGAAAATAATTCAGCCCGAGGCCCGCAAGAAGCTTTCCTTTAAAATACCGTAGTCCATTGCTCTAATTCTGAGAAAAAAAAACTCGAAACTGAAAATTGTCGGAATTGATTAAATTTGATGAGATAACTTAAAATTCAGAGCATTCACAATCCCTTCATAATTGCCGAATTTATTCCATTTCCGACCTGTATTATTCCGTGCCTCATTGATCCGATTCTTACCATTTACTACGTGGCACCGTATCGAAGTTTTGTAACGAGACGACGACGAAGTGTAGCTGCCGCACTCACCGTCTCAGTTGCTCCATCTTCCACAAGAACTATTTGAACTATTTGAATTGTATTTGTGAAAACATTTATTTTGTAAAATGTAAAATGAAGAGATCAAGAATTATTGTTTTCCACATTGATTTTGACAATATCAGATGACCGAAGAACAGCTCTGTCGAGAACTCCGATTGGTGTTAAAAGATTTTCTGTGAATTTTATAATTAGTTGAATCACTGGAGCTACAGTAACCCACCGACAATGACATGGTCTGATGATAATTGAAATGCTTTTATTGTCGCTGTGACTTTTGTTTTTTCACACATATCGAATGTTGCCGACTTGTTGGCTGCTTTCTAAAAATGAAGAAATTTAAGAAGCTTGGTTTTGTATGATTTTTCGGCTCCACCTCTAGAAAACTCAAATAACGAGCTCGCAGGACTGCACGTCGATTCTGTTCTTCCTGTTCGTTGCTTGAACTCATCTGGTTAACTTGTTAAGGTATGGTACGATCCATGTGGTCCTATTTTTAGATAAAACTAGTTTTCATATTTTTCAAAGAATTCTGACAAAGTATAAATAAGGCTCCATCGTGAATACAAATACTTTATTCGTCAGAGATCATTCAGAGTATTCGGTAGAGATCACTCGCTGGGTCGTGAGCTCATTTGGACTCGAGAAATTTCGGATAGTTTCTTTTGTACGGCTGATACGAGTTGAGTACTTTCTCCAACCAATTCCTTGAGTTCTCCAACTTTTTCCCGCTGCACTGCGTCGTTTTGTATCATTTTCTGCTCCACTTCATCTTCCATGTTTCCTGCTTCGATTGGAAATGAGTCGATTAAAATCTAAAAAGAAAAAAATCACAAATACTGATGAATCACATGAATCATTTACCTCGATATTCTTTGCAGATTTAGCAATACTTGCAGCGAAAATAGCACAATTTGGTTCTTCTTCATGATCTTGAGAAATTGCATCGAATTCGCACGGTGGAGCTGTCGCTTGTAGCACTCCAATGGCATTTGTCATTAACGATGCCATTTCGTTGATCATATCTTGCAACTGTGTCATACGATCAGCCATTTTTTAGGATTCTGAACTACTTGACTTTTAATTCAAATTTCGGAACTCGGAACATTATAAAGATCATAAAGATAATTTGGCGATGGTAAGGTTCACCGGTGAAGTTTGAAGAACGAATAAAATATATGATGAAAAAATTTTATATGGCAATGCAATAGACCAGATTTTAGGAAAATATACTTTGCATAATCTTGACAACTATAACTCCTTATTTTAATTACTTTTATCCCAGAACCAGCGATCATTGACCCATCCCGCCCGTTCCAATGGCCATATACGTAGACTGAGGCGAATCTGAACGAGGCCTTCGGGGACCGGACCGAAATGCCGGGAATCGGTGGACACTGGTGTATTATCTCCTTGTAGAAATACATGTCCAATTGGGACACGTCCAGATGGTAGCAAGTGAGAAGTAATTGGGTCGCCTTCCTGAAAATCGTTCAGTTTTTATGATAGTTTTTGAAGATAGATATCAGGCTTTCATGATTAAAAAAAAAAGTAACCCACTTTGCCAACTATCCGTTTACAAAGCAATTCTTTTGGTTTTTGAGGGTTGATACAGCCAACAATGTCGCCAACTTGAATGTTATCGAATTTGACACCTGAAAACGTTTTTTTTTTTTCAAAAAAAATGAACTGATAAATAAAAACATACTGAGTCTTTCAGCAAGGATTAATTCACCGTCTTGACAGGTCGGATGCATCGATGGACCGCTGCAAATGAGAAGTTCACCGACATGCTTGCTGATGGTGTGTCCCACACAATAGAGTGCTACTGTTCCTGAAAAATACTACGAAAACATTGTATTTTTGACTTGAATATATTCAATCTGCATCATTTTAAATGATACATTTATGGGGTTATTCATGACATAAAAATGTATTTTTTGTAATTTTTAAACACAAAAAATTAATGCATGCATGCGAAAAAATGTATTTTATGTATTTTTTCGTATTTCTTTGTATTTAAAAAACAAATCATGCATAACCCCATTAAATTCTAAAACTTTTTTGTGTCACAAAAAAGGAACCGATAAAGCGTACCTGTAGTAAACCTCCGCAGGAATTTAAGCACCATTTTCAGCTGAAATATAGAAATAACTAAACAACAAAATAGATTTTTAAATAATTACTTAGCAAACAAACAAATAAATTGTCAAGGAGTGGAGACACAAATGTTTTGAACGTTGTGTGCATTTAGACGCCGAGCTGTTTGCGTACCAAACACCAGAAAACGGTGCACGTGACGTGTAGATTCTCAGCTAGATTTCATCGTTTTCTTGCAGGATTCAGAAGAAAGTGGACCACGATTCAGTTTCTTAAATGCTTTTAAAAATCTAATTTCTCTAAAAAAAATTAACTATTTTTCATTCAGGAGGTCGTCATCAAGCAAAGATGGCGACCAATGGCGTCTACATCGTTATGGGTGAGGCGAATTGCGTCGTAGCTTTACTCAACAAAGCTAGAAGGTAGAATTGTAATTGGGAAATGGATATTGAAAAAAAGAAGCTTTCAGACAATATCAGCTATCACAAGTTCCGACGTTAGAAGACACAGATCCATTGCTTCGGAATTTTACCGACTTGAAAGAAGTTCTGAATGAGGTACTGTAAAATAGTCCAGAAATAAGTTTATTTTGCTATTGACACATCTAAATACTATACTAAAACTATAGAAGCATTTTGTATCAGGAGAATTTACAGGTAGCTGATCTTGCTGATATGAATCCACAAACATACCTATCTCCGTTCCTGGATGTGATCAAAGCCCAGAACACCAATGGACCGATAACAGAAGCTGCATTGGCTGCAGTTGCAAAATTCCTTAACTATGGACTCATCGATGCCAGTAGTATCAAGGCGGCGAATGCAGTGGAGTCGATTGCCTATGCTGTCGTTCATACTAAATTCATCGGTGGAAAAAGCAGTGGAAGCGATGAATGTGTCCTTTTCAAGATCTTACAGGTACAGAAACAAATTTAAGCCATTTTTTTATTGAGTTAAAAAATATTGAAAATCGAATTTCAGGTGCTCCGTTCGCTTCTCCTCTCACCACCAGGAATCTTATTGTCCAATGAAGCAGTTTGTGACATGATGCAGTCGTGTTTCAGAATAGTTTTCGAACAAAATCTATCCTTGCTGTTAAGAAAAGTAAGTCTTGAAATTTTGTTTCTGCTCAATATATAAAATTTGTTTTTCAGGCAGCTGAATCAACTCTTGCTGACATGACTCAACTGATTTTCACTAGACTTCCGACTTTTGTAGAAGACACACGTCATCCGTATATTCGGCAACTGGTACGGTAACAAGAGCTGTATTTTTTTCCAAAGTTAAAAATTTCAGGTAAATCCTTCTGAGAAACGCCAGAAACGCAAGAAGAAGCGACAATCATCTACTCACATCGAACACAAGGAGAAGAAAGATGATGAAACGGAAAGTAATGCAACAGAGTCAACGAAACTGATTACTGCGACTTCTGAACCAGAAATTGACGGAGCAGCTACACTTGGTAAGTTTTCTTTTTTTCAAATTTTCGAATTGAATTCAAAAGATACAGGATACGATGTGGTCTTGACTACTGATCCCCCTGTCGATGCTGTAACTCATCCAGATCGAAACGTAGATGAGGTGAAAAAAGAGAGGCTCTCTGAAGGAGAAGAAGCAGATTCAGAATCGGAAGGAGGAGAAGAAGAGAGGCCGATCAGAACTCATGGCGGTCTGCAGCGAGAGATAGTTTCAGACGAAGAAGATCCATTATCAAACGATGATCATACAGTAGGCGGAGAAGAAAAAATGCCATACGGATTGCCATGTTGCAGAGAGTTGCTGAGGTATAATTTAAAATTAAATAGACTGGAATAGTAAGAATTTCAGATTCCTCATCACCATGATCAATCCTCTCGATCGCCATAACACCGAATCCATGGTTGTCCTTGGGCTGAATCTGCTGATTGTGGCACTGGAAGCAGTTGCAGACTTCCTCCCCAACTACGAAATTCTGATGCCTCTTGTCAGAAACGAGTTGTGCAGAAGTCTTCTACAACTGTTAGACACTGAAAAACTTCCGGTTCTCGCAGCAACGAATCGATGTTGTTTTCTCTTATTCGAATCGATGAGAATGCATCTGAAATTCCAGCTGGAGAGCTATTTGAAAAAACTGCAATCGATTGTGTTGTCCGAGAAAAATCACACAAACAGTGGAACAGAGCAGAAAGAAATGGCTCTAGAATCATTGGTACAACTTTGGAGAATTCCTGGACTTGTAACAGAAATGTATTTGAATTTCGACTGTGATCTCTACTGTGGGTAAGTATTTTGGTTTTGAGTTGTTTTTCAAAAAATTGTTCTACAGAAACATTTTCGAAGATCTCACGAAACTTCTCGTGGAGAATTCATTCCCAACTTTGGGAGGTCACACCGCCTCTCTGCTTTCCCTGGATGCTCTCTTGGTGGTTATTGAAACTATTGAACAAAACTGCGAAGATCTTGAAAATGGAACAATTGAGGTTACAAAAGAACAAGAACAGAAAGAGTGAGTATAATTATTTTCCCATCCTAATTCTTAGAAAAAAAGTGTATTTTTTTCAGCTTGAAAAAATTGGGTCTCCCAGTTCTCAGTGGTTACGATATTGGTAGAAAGTTGAACACACCTATTGGAGATCAGAAGCCTCACAGCACGTCCCCGATTCCTCCAGCGTCCACTCTTCTTCTCCGTTCCAACCGACACTCTCCATCCAACAATCTTCCATCTATGACGGAAATCATCGAACAGAAGAAACGCAAACGGTTGATTGCCGAAGGAACAGAACTTTTCAATCAGAGTCCGAAGAAAGGAATTGCATTTTTGAGAGAAAAGGGAATTCTAGGACACGACGAAGAAAGTTTGGTACAATGGTTGAGAGCAAATCCACAGCTAGATAAGAAGGCTATTGCGGATTATATCTGTAATCGTAAACATGCTGAGGCGAGTTTGAAACCTTCAATTTTTATTAACTCAACGTTTCTTTTCAGACTCTGAAAGCCTTTGTGAAAAGCTTCCCATTCGAAAACACTCGTCTGGATGTTGCTCTTCGTATGTTCCTCGAGACATTCCGTTTGCCCGGAGAATCGGCTGAAATTTCACTTGTGATGCAACACTTTTCGGAGGAATGGTCTTTTGCTAACAATGAACCATTCAACCATATTGATGCCGCGTTCACACTATCATACGCTATCATTATGTTGAATGTTGATCAGCATAATCCACAGGTTTGTTTCACTTTCGGTTTTTTAAATATAAATGTTCCTATTGCAGGCCAAACGAAACCAACCACCTATGACAGTCGACTGCTTCAAAAAAAATCTTTCTGGAACCAATGGGTCTAAGGATTTCGATCCGGCAATGTTGACTGATATGTATCATGCTATCAAGTCGGAAGAAATTGTCATGCCTGCTGAACAGAAGGGTAGTGTAAAAGAGGATTACATGTGGAAGGTGCTTCTTCGCCGAGGAGAAACGTCCGAAGGATCCTTCTTCCATGCTCCAACAGGATGGAATGATCGTGATCTATTCGCTGTTTGCTGGGGACCTGCTGTGGCTGCTTTGAGCTACGTATTCGACAAATCAGAACATGAACAAATACTTCAAAAAGCTCTCAATGGATACAGGAAGTGTGCCAAGATTTCAGCTCATTATGGAATGAAGGAAGTCTTTGATAACCTGTGCATCCATCTTTGCAAGTTCACGACTTTGACTTCGATGCGGGAGGGAGGAGCAGAGGATTCTTTGGATCTTCAACGACACAGATCAATGATTGATGTTTCGAACAGTGGAAACTCTGGATCTTCTCTAGGAGGTCTTTCCGGCCACTCACCGGAGGTTGTATCTTTAGCGTTTGGAGAGAATCATAAAGCACAGCTAGCGACCCGAACTTTGTTCTATCTGGTTCATGAGAATGGAAATATCCTGCGCGAAGGATGGAGAAATCTATTTGAAGTGTTGCTTCAGTTGTTCCGAGCTCGTCTATTACCTGCGGAGTTGATCGAAGTGGAAGACTATGTTGATGAAAAAGGATGGGTCAGCATTCAACGCGTTCATCAAAAGTAACGAAATTAATATCTTTATGATTTCGAAACCTTTCATTTTCAGAGAACTTCCAAACACACGAAACGATTCTGGTCTCCTTTCTTGGTTCGGTTTGGGTGGAAGTGCTTCAGAAGTTGATCGTCGTAAGCCAACGCAGGAGCAGCTCAGCGCAATGAAGCTTGCATCTCAAGTCATCGCAGAATGCCGCCCATCACAACTGGTCGCAGACAGCAAGTACCTAACGAGTACCTCACTCGCAGAAATGCTCTCCTCGATTGCTGCTAACAGTGCAATGATTGTAGATAAAGCGGAACCACAGCAAGCGGTTCGTTGTCATTTCGAGATGTTTTAATTCATATAATTTTTCCAGGCCGCTAGTTTGAGTGGAGAAGACGAAGATGCCCTTGTGTTCCATCTCGAGTTGATCGTCGCCATCACATTGGAGAACAAGGATCGTCTTCCTCTTGTATGGCCGCATGTCCGTCGCCATCTTGAATGGCTTCTGTCTCCACGATTTGGTCGTTGTCCAGTTCTGGTAGAACGTGCAGTTGTTGGATTACTGCGTGTTGCCAATCGTAATCTCTTCCGCGATAACACAGTATCTGATGATGTTCTACACTCGTTGGCAATGCTACTCCGTCTCTCTCCTAAAGCTCTGTTCGTGTTCAGTCGTCAAATCGCTTTCGGACTTTACGAACTGATACGTGCGAATGCGGCAAATGTACATAAGAAAGAGCATTGGGCCGTGCTTTTTGCTCTTCTTGAAGCAGCAGGAGCTGCCGTCCTGCCTGACGAGTACGCATTGCAATCGGACAAAAATAGATTGAAAGTAGGAGCTGATCAGCGTAATGCATACTCTGATGTCGAAGGAACCTCTGGACGCGGTTTTGGAGTTGATGAGAGAGCTTACACTTCTGAAGGAGAAGAGAGAAGACGTGGAAATTATGGTAAGAACTTTGAATAATGTTAAATTTCTCAGCTTTCCTTTTTCCAGATTCCGCCAGTGATCTAGAAAGTCGTGTGGATTCAGCTGGATCATTAACTGGAGGGCATAAACCTGTCGATTGGATTCATCTGGACCACAAAGACGCGGCGAAGGCAACGGAAGAAGCTCTAAATGCGCTTGGAGCAAATTCTCATAAGAAAAACTTCCGCCAATACGGTAGTCTCGTGCTCCGAAATGGACTTGGCAGACATGAACCAGCTGCTTTCCTAAAAGTTTGCGAATGTCTGGCATTCCTCCTTCGAGATGCTGTTCACGTCACTCCAGATAACTTTGAGTCGAGCTTACAATGCTTACGAACAATGGTGGAATCCAGTCTTGATGGTGGAGTCTATGCTGCTGGTCCGTTGAGTGGAGATAGTCAGAACCGGCTGAGAAGCACAGTAACTGATGAAAGAGCCACAAAGAAACATCATCATCATCATACTCACAGTAAGAAGAAGGACTTGTCAACTGATGTCTCTGATGAAGCTGATGACAGCAGAAATGAAGAACAACAATTAACTGCTAATTATCAACAAGTAAGCATTAGATCATGAAACGCGAATTCCAAAGAAATATTTTCAGATGTCTCTTCATCTGCTCGATTTATGCTCTCAACTCCACTCACAAACTCCAGCTATTTTCGCGAAATGGGCACAACAAGAAGGCGTCTCCGCCGGAAATCTTGCATCTGTCTCTTTCATTTGGACTGATATCTGGCGTCCACTCCTCCAAGCCATGGGTCGTTTGAGTTGTGACTGTCGACGAGGTGTTCGAGCCGCTGCATTGACGCATCTGCAGAGAGCATTCCTACCTGCCAATATGGCTACTCTAGGAGCTGCTGAATGGCAGTCCTGTTTCGGAGAAGTTCTGTTCCCACTTCTGACAAAACTACTCGAATCATTTTCTCCGATGGATCCTATCGGAATGGAAGATACACGGGTTCGAACTCTTCAAATTGTTGCCAAAACTCTGTTGAATCATCTTTCGGCTCTGTCAGCTCTTGAATCGTTCCCAGAATTGTGGATGCTTTTGCTGGACTATATGGAACAATACTTACGTGTCGACAACTGTGGAAACTTGAACGAGGCAGTTCCAGAATCATTGAAAAATATGTTACTGGTTATGGATAGTACAGCTATTTTCAATGCTATTCCGGGGTTGTACGATATGACAGTCGAACGATTGAATCGTTTTATGCCACAGCTGATCAAAGACACTATTCCGAATCCGCCAAGAAAAGATGATACTGCTCTGCCACCTCAACAAACTACTCGCCCTGAAACGACATCACAGCCAGAAGTAGAACATGCTCCGGGTCTTGAAGTAATTTCTACAACAGTACTTCATAGCTTTAAATTTAATATTACAGCCACCATCGTTCACTGCAGCTACTTCCACTTCTGAACCATCTGTCACACAAGCTTCTGTATCTGCATCTTCCATCAACTCGGATGTTGCTTCAACCCTCGTAACCTGCCCAGAGGATATGACTGTAACAAGTTCCCCAATTCCAATTCAGCAGCCGGTGGTACCATTGGTAATCCAAGCATTTTTGAAATCTAAATTTACACATATCTACTTTCCAGACAGAAGTGATTGTTCACTCCGGACCAACCTCTCCTATTGGCTCTCCACCACAAAGCCACGAAGCTCCAATTCCTCAACAACAGCAGATGAGTCAGCAACAACAGTATGAGCACCAACAGCAACAACAAGCTTCTGCCCATCAACACTATCCGCAATATCAGAACTATCAGCAGCAACACCAGTCCCCACAATACCCGCAACAACATCAGTATGCGTACTCTCCAGAAGCTGCTGCCTATTATCAACAGCAATATGCTCAACAGCAGCAACAATATGCTGATCACTATGCGAATCATTATCAGCAATATCATCAACAGCAGCAGCAAAATATGAATCCCACAAATCCGAGTGTACATGGACAGTTTTCGGTGGCCAATCCCCTTCCAATTCCACCTTCTTATCATCCTATTGTGTCTCCATCTGCAAACAGTGCATTCTCACAAGTCTATACATCATCAGCACAAGGTGTAAGTAGATTTTGTAAAATCTTATTTCTCTTCTAAAACAAAGCGGTATTCCAGAATCCGCCACCTGCTCCAACTTCACAGGAATCACCCTACTTCACTCCGATTCCATATGATCCCAGTCATCAACAACAACCTTGAAGTTCAGAGTTGTTCTTAATTTATTATTGCTATTCTTCCCCTTCGCCCATTACCACCCCGAATTGTGATATTTATTGTTTCCCATTTTTGTAAACTTCTTTTTTTAAAGTTTTCTTTCTGTCTGTGTAATAACTAAGTCTGAAAGCATGCAGCACCGAAAATAGTCGATAACTTGGGTTAGAATGTGTGTCTCTTTGGTTTTCCATTTTCAATCGCTTTCTGTATGTAATTTGGCGAACACCACAAATTTATTTTCCTGAAATTAGTTTATTGCTAATAAAACAATTATTAGAAGAAGTTTGTTGAATTCAGCAGGTCAGAAATGAGAATGGAGATTGGAAACGGAATCCGATCAGATTACCTTCACATTCACAAATATTTGTTTCTGAAAAGAAAGGTAGTAAAATAGGGTTGGCATAAATGCCAAGTTCAAAGTAAATTTCCAGGAGAAATTTGGCCCCGCGACGTTTCGAAAGACGACGTTTCGAAAGTGTGACGTTTCGCAAGTACGGCAATTTATGCTTTGAAAGCT